CTCCTCCTCCTGCTCCTCTTCATCCTCCTCCTCCTCCTCCTTCTCCTCCTTCTTCTTCGGCCATGGATTGGGCCTCGACCCGAAGCGTCAGCGTCCTCTTTCTCCTCCTCCTCCTCCTCCTCCTCCTCCTCCTCCGAACTGGCGGTGACGAGGCCGCGCAACAACTGCGGCATCGCGAGCCATCACGGCTGGAGCCCTCAGCCCCGCCTCTCTGCGGCAGTCTCAATGCGGGGGGCCAGACTGGACCGCGACAGAGAGAGGCCCCCCGGGCCCCGAAGCCCGGCGTGGCGGCTCGCCAGAGGGGCGAGGGGCACGACGCGTCCGCCCAGACATCCGATGGTGATCGCCTTCTGGCTCCTCGTCTTGCCGCGCGGCGCGGGCCCTCGTGGAGTAGACCGTCGCTTGGCTGCTTGGGGCGCCTGCCTCGGGCAAGGCGGAGCCTCTCCTCCCCGGGGGCGCCCTGCCGCAGACCGCCGAACGCGATGCAGAGGTGTGGAGCCAGACCCCCCCCTCCCCGCCCTCTTATCTGCCCAGCGTAGAAAGAGCGGCTCCTCGCGAGGGGGGGTCTGAAGGGACCCTGGGACACACAAATAAATACACATAAGTAACACGATCCCCCATATTCTCCCATATTTTCTGGGTGTTCGTCTTCCCCCTCAGGCTTACATCTTACTTACAGCCTTCGCCCACGGCGAATTCTCAAGCTTACAGCTTACTCTCAGCCAACATTCCCAGCTTTCCTTTTCCATACCCTTATCTTCCAATGGCCGGCACGAACGCGCGGATGGCAGGAACACCAGCTGGGGCAGTTCTTTCTCGCGACGTACGCCGACGCCTGTTCAGCCCGCTCCACGAGATGGATGGGTTGGACGACCTCGACTTGTCCCCACCCCGCCCAGAGGTACATCAGATCTCGTCGCCCGCGGCCCCGCCCGACACGCCCCCGGATGCATTCAGTGCGACCGCAACGGCAAGCAATTCAGCACCCGAGGCACGACCAGCAGCACTACATGAAATCGCGCACCTGTTCAGGCAAGAGGTCCAACCACTACGGACTGCTATCGGCAGCCTGGAAATTCGGCTCGACACGAAGATGGCGGCGGTGGAGGAGCGCATGGAGAACGTAGAGATCCGCATCACCAATTTGGAGAACCTTGAGGGGCCCAACGTTTCGGCGAGCATTCACGAGGACGTCATGAACCACATCAAGGCGATGGAGGTCGAGATCGCCGAGCTGAGGAGCGCCACTGGCTCCGTCGGCTCCATTGGCACCGCTTCCAAGCAGGAGACCGCCGTATCTGGCAACCTTCTTGGACTCAACGGCCAGGCGGAGGCAGAGACTTGGTTGAAAGACCAGCTCTGGTGGTGCAGCGCCCCGTCCGCAGACGAGTTCTACTCCAAGGGGGACTTCTCGGGCATTCTCTTCGGCAGGTTCGCTTCCACGGCCGACCGAAACGCTGCAGTTTCAAAGCTCCGCGCCGCGCGCGCCTACCTGGAGGACAAGCCAGTGTGGGCAAAGGCGGACGAACCCCTCGAGGTTCGGGTGCCCAAATCCTTTTGTTCGGCGCAAAGAAGCTGCTCGTCGAGTGGGGCTTCGAGAAGAGAGCGTTCTGGGTGGACCCAGAAGTCGGCATGATGAAGATGGGAGACGACACCGTTTTGGAGGTGAAGGCCACGACGGGAGCGATGAACATCAAGTATGGCGACGGCTGGGAGCAGTACTTTGGCGCTGACCCGGAGTGGCGAGAGCTTATGAAGACGCACTCCGACAAGCTTGCGCGTGGCGGCAAGGGCAAGGGCAGCGGCAAACACAGCAAAGGCGGCAAAGGCGGCGGTCGCAGCTAGGGACAGCACCGGTCGAGGGGCACGGAGGATGTTTCACCAGAATTCGATGTGAATTTTAACACTGATTTTAATTTTCACGTTTACGGCAAAAACGCACGTGTACATATTCTTGATCGGCTCGGGCTTTTGTTAGGGGAGCTCTCGGATCTAGCCTGGGATGTTGTTTGTTTTAGCGAGACCCGCGCGGCATCTGATGACACTGACCTCGACGGGGGCCATCGTTTTATAGCCGCAGCGGGCTCATCCAGACACTCAGGAGTGGCTGTTTGCTTGCATGCTCGGCACGCGGGGAGTGTCACAGGTACTCGTTCTCGTTATGGCCGCGTTTTGGCAGTTGATCTCAAGGTCCATGGCATTGCTTGCACGTTCCTCTCTGTATACATGCCACACGCGGGATACCCGCACGAAGATTTAGTAGATTGCTATGCGTTTTTGCAGCAGGAGTTCGATTTTGCCAGAAGCGATGTCGGAAACTCTGCATAACTGGTGACTTTAACACACAATTTGAAATCGGCGAAAGGGGGCGCCTACTGCAAGCGTTTTGTTTTGAGAACAGCCTTGAGGCCGGAAACTTTCGCCATGCGCCCGATGCGTGGACTTTCCGGAGCTCGCTCGGTGCCACGCGGGTTTTGGATTATATGTTCTTTGATGTGTCTTTTCATTGCCAGTCTTGCTGCCCGAGTGAATCTTTAGATATGGGTTCTGACCATCGTGCGTTGCATGGGATGTTTCATCTAGGCCCAGGTTCTCGACGCCAGAGGGGGCGCCAGCACGACGCGGTTCGGTGGAAGCCGTCTTTGGACGCTGAGGGCCGCGACCGGGTCTATGAGAGCATTGTGCAAGAATCGCTGTCTGAGTCTCTCTCGCCTTCTCTCCCTCCCTCCCTCTTTGACCTGGAGGGTCACGTTGTTGCATCAGCCAGACAAGCATCGACTCAGAGAGACGCTGCTCGTCCCCATGCGAAGCCATGGGACGCACCTGAGTTACGGGAGATGCGCCGGAGGCGACGAAACACACGTGACCCACAAGAACGGTCCAGATTGTCAAAGCTCATTTTTCAAGAGCATCGTAAACGCATGCGGGAATATTGTGATGCGCGTGCTGTTCAGATGTTGTCCAAGTTTGAAGGTATCAAACACTTGCCTCGGGTGCACATGTTTCCTTCGCAGCAAAGCAAACGTTGCCCTATAGACAGTGATATGTTTAAGGCCTCGCTTGAGCAGATCTTTTCCACGGACTGCGGCGCTGACAGGGATGACTGGGCAGCGGCACACTGCAACAAAGGCTCGTATAATATCACGCCATTTTGCATGCAGGAGTTGCGACACGCTTTTAAGCATATGAAGCGTGGCAAATGCGCAGATAAACGCGGTATCACCGTTGATTTGTTTGCATGCGGTGGCGATGCTCTGCACAGACGCCTCCTGACGTGCTTGAATTCGCTGCTCAACACAGGCCGCATCGACCCCACTTGGCAGGAAACGTGTTTTATCATGTTGCCGAAGAGTGGCAGCAGACATGATGTAAAAAACTGGCGGACCATAGCAATTTTACGCATCACATAAAAGATATTTGCTCGCCTGGTTTTTGCACGCTTGCAGCCTGATCTGGAAAAAGAACAGACGCGTGACCAGGTAGGATTTCGACCGGGCCGCTCCGTCGACGACGCTTTTGTCGTTTTGGAGGATGTCCGCGCGAAAGCTTGGGAGTGGCAGCTCCCACTGTGGATCGCTAGCATTGACCTCACTAAAGCCTTCGACCGGCTGGAGCATCACGTGCTTTTCCAGGCACTGTCGGAGCAAGGAGTTCACGCAGAGTACGTGCGGCTTTTGTCAGACATTTACAGTTCCCAGTGGGGGAGCGTCAATGGCAGCACAGCGTTTGACATTACCCGTGGCGTGACGCAGGGGGACGTTTTGTCAGCGCTGCTCTTCAACGCTGGCTTAGAGCATGCAATTCGGAAGTTCAAAATACGCGCTCAGCAGTGCGGCTTTGACGTTGGAGGCGTCGATTTGCTTAGCAACATGCGGTATGCGGATGACATTTTACTTTATGCGCGTTCCGCCGCGGAGGTTGTTCGCATGCTGGACATTCTTTCGGAAGAATTGTCAGCGTGCGGCCTCTCACTAAATGCTGGCAAGACGCGGATTTTTACGAACGACGTTGCCGTTTCCAACGTTGACGAGCCTCTCGTTTTGCAGCTTGCCGGCTGCGAGCTGCCTGTCATGACATCCCAGGTTTTCCACAAGTACCTCGTCAAAAAATTTGGAGGCGAATTAGGATGCAGATCTGACTGCAATGTCAATTATCGCATGGAGTGCGCATGGGGGAAATTTCACTCCCACAAAGCGGTGCTTTTGAATAAATCTATATCTTTGCGTCTTCGGTTGAAGCTTTTCGACAGTGTGGTTACGCCCGCTGCTGTCTACGGTCTCTCGACGACCGCCACGACAGCACGACATAGGTCAACGATTGCATCAACTCGTGCAAAAATGCTCCGTCGGATGGTCGGCTTCAGCAAGCTTCCCGGCGAGAGCTGGGAAAAAGCGGGGCGACGGTGCAAGCAAAAAGTGCGTGTTGCTATCCAAGTTTTCCCTGTGTCCGATTGGCTCGTCGTGATAGACCGTTCAACGTGGCGCCTCGTGGCACGACTCGCCACCAGCGATTCGCAAGAATGGCCCGCGCAAGTTTTACGCTGGCGCTCTGCCGGCCCACGGCGTCGCGGTCGGCCACGGCGTCGATGGACAGATGATGTAGATGCGTTTCTGCAACACGAGCGCGGCACACGTCTCATTGATGTTATCTGCAGCCAACAACGCTTCCCCTGGCAACAATAGGAGAATTCATGTATGAGCCACATGTGGTGGTACACGTGATGAGCGATTGATGTTCCACCGAGTTGTATCAGCCAATTCCTTTGCATGCGCGTTTCAATGCCGTAGTGTTGCATGCCCTCCGTCTCCGCTTGCGGAGCGAAGGGCCTCCGTAGGGCTCCTCGACCGGACTTGACCTTGACCTTGACGTCTTCCCCCCCACTTCCCATGACTTCGCACATTTTCTGGGGAATCGACGACTCATTGTGTCTGTATGTGTTTTTTCTCCCTCCTGAGGGCCGGAGAGGCCCAGGGCCCCGAGGCTGCACAGCGCGTCGGCTCCTGCCCTCGAGACCCCGGCCTCCGCGGCGCTGCCGGGGCACCCGGCCTTCTGCGCCTGGTCGGAGCCCCCGCCCCCCCCCCCTCTCGAGTGTTCGCTCCCGCGTCCCGGGCCTCGGAGGCCGCCGCGATGGTCCCAGGCAGTTTCCAGATCCTCGGCGCGGGCTCCCAAGACCATTCCGCAGAGGGCTCCAGCAGGCTCCAGGGCAGCCCAAGAGGGCTCCAAGACGGCTCCCGGAACGACTGCAGGCTCTTATGTTTCATGTGTTTCTGCAGGGTTTCGGTGCCTCCAGCCTCCGAGGTCGCAGCGGTGGGCCCAGACATTTTGAAGGCCCACGGACATAGCCCCAGGTCTATTTCCCAGCGGCCTCCAGCAGGCTCCAGGCTGGCCCCCCTCTTGGCCCCTGGCGCTGCCCGCTTCGAGGCCTGACCCGGGCCCGCTTCAGGAAGCAGCTGGGGCTGGATCCTGACCAGAGATCGCCTTCTCGCAAGGGAGGCGGACTGAAGGTGGAGGGAGGCGCAGGTGGAACAGGAGAGAAAACAGTCAGGGGGGGGAGGGGGAGGGGGCGGTGGAACAGAAGGGGGAGGGGTAACAGAAGGGGGCGAGGAGGCGACGCAGGAGGAGGGGCCAAACGAGGCCCAAGCACGGTAGAGATGCCAAGAAAAGCTGACCTCCATGTCGCCGTTCGAAGCTCCCATGGACGGACATCCAACCCCCTGCATGCGCGGGGCCTGCACGGCCACCGTGTCCAGCTCACGCTGCCCCTCCTTCGTGATCTTGCGGCCGCCATTCTCGTCCTTCGGGATCCAACCCCCCTCCTCCCCGACCTGGCCGTCCCCCCTCGCCCAGCCTCTCGTCCTTACCGTTCTCATCCTTCTCCTCTCCTCTCCTCTCCCGCATCTCCCTCCGCCTCATTCCTCCACCCGCCCGCCCTCCTCCCTACCTCCTCTCCCCTTGATCTCCCCTGCACCCGAGCACGATGTCTACGCGGGGTTGGGACGAGGATTCCATTGCCAGCACTGTGTATGCAGTGCAAGTGAGTTGACGCTTGAGTCCTTCCTGGCTGCCCCGTGCTTGGACGGAGCGACAAAAGGTGCCGTCCAGCGTATAGGGGAGTGACGGGCCCTCGTCCAGGGTGAGGCTGTGGACGAGAGCCACCTGCTGGGCTACTTCGAGCCACCTGCTGCGGACGAGAGACACCTACTTCGGCGAGCTCCAGATCCACGCCGAGCTGGGAAGCACTAGTTCCTTGCGTAGCCGCGCCGAGCCCTGCTCGGGCCAGCTGGACCACCGTGGCCGCCAGAACCTGGGCAGACTGCCTCGTGGGCAGGCGGACGCGAAGGCAATGCGAGTGACCGAGCTGTTGGAGCGTCCGTTTCTTGTTGTTTTGTTGGAGTCTTCGTGGGCAACGTCCAACTCTTTGTAGAGCGCCGCAGCACAAGGCCCTCGATTTTCCGAGCGTGGGTGAACTGGCTCGCCGCTTCCCCTTCCGCCTCTTCTCCTCCTCCACCTCCTCCTCCTCCTCCTCGGGCGCCGCCCTCAGGGCCTCCCAAGAGCCCCAAGAGAGGCCCGGAGGCCCCCAAAAAGCTCAAGAACGGGTCCCAAGAGGCCCCCAAGGGCACGAGAACACCACCATGCAGCCACAATGATGCGAACTGGGCCGGCGGAGTGAGCGAAGTGATGAATAAACCCACGCACCCGCGTATGTCAAAAAACCCGTTCACCATGCATTTCAACGCATATATGTAGATGCGTATATATATATATATATATATATATATAAGGTTCGTCAGCGAGGATCACAAGAAGTCAGTTTTTGCATTATATGCATTGCAATATGTTCTAGTGTTCAATGTCGTGCTATGTGTGCGTATGGGTGTGTATGCGCGCGTGAAGTTGCTATACAAACATGTATAGCCGCCAAGACGCTTCCCTCTTTCATTAACACATACATACGCGTATGTAAAGTGCCGTCTCGACATACATCGGAATGCAGCTATGGAAATACATGTACATGTAAGGTTCGTCAGCGTGGACCCCAAACAGTGAGTTCTTGCATTCTATGCAATGCAATCTTTTTTGACGTTCAAGGTAGTGCAGCACAGGCGGTGCAATCAATGTCGTGCAATCTAGGTGGTGCATTCGATCTGGTGTACTATATGTGGTACAAAGCAATACAATGCAATGCAACACAATGCAACACAATGCACAATACCATGCAATGCAAAATACTGCAACGCAATACAACGCAATGCAACTATGCAGTGCTACGCTTTGCTATGCTACGCTTTGCTATGCTATACGTGGACAAGTGCGAAATGACCAGTGCAAATGGAAGCGAAACAAGGCGCTACGCTATGCTGTGCTATGCGTTGCTTTGCGAGTGGACGAATGCGAAAAAAACTACGACGGACGGCGGCGACGGGCGTACCGGCACTGGTGCTTATGTACCTCAGGCTGTTCCCGCGTGGTCCCTGACGTCTCCTCCTCCCCGTCCTCCTCCTCCTCCTCCTCCTCCTCCTCCTCCTCCTCCTCCTCCTCCTCCTCCTCCTCCTCCTCCTATCAGGACCTCCAGGCATCGTGAAACAACAGACAAACAGCACACACCTTGCCCTGGGCACGTTTTCTGGACATTGGCGTCCATCCTCACGCGGCCCACGAGGAGGCGCAGGTCTCTGGGACGAGGTCGAGGGCTCCAGGGGGCGATGCATCGGCAGCGCGGAGGGTGCATCGGCGCCCGTTGGCCCAGGCCTGCCCCTCAGCCAGTTCCGATCTGGGGGCCTGAACTGGTTGGGGCCCCAGAAATGGTCAACGCTTCCTTATTCGGCGCCTCCACATTGGGCGGAAGGGGGGGGGAGGGGGGGTCTAGCTCCGGACCTCTGCTTAGTGCGACCGCTGGGAAGAGCGCGGCCTCTGGGGGAGACTCCACCCGCTCGAAACAAGCGCCAAGAAACAGCCAAGATCTACTCCATGGGGGGGGGAAGGGGGGGTTGGGGGCCCGCGCCGACAGATGAAACAATGAATAAAAAACTATCACATATCGGTCAGGAGGGAAAAATGAAGCCAAATCCTCTCACCCTGAATCTCTGGACCCCTCCCGGGGTCGATCTGGTGCAGTTTTTCGCCCCGGAGACGTTTCTAACGGCCACGGGGCCGAAGAACGCCTTCAGAAACGAAAAAGGCAAACAACCTTCTCGAACCGAGCACCCCGAATCTGTCCGCCCTTGCTGCTCGCCAAAACGAATACTTGGCCAGCTCAGACTCCCGGCCAGCTCCAATTCCACCCGTGGCGACGAGGCAGATCCACCCGTGGCGACGAAGAAGCCCCTAGAGGCCCCAGAAGGCACGACTAACAAAAAATCGAAACCTCTCCAGCACCTGCTGGCCCTTGTCCCTCCTCCTCCTTCTCCTCCTCCTCCTCCTCCTTCCTACTCGTCCTCCTGCTGCTCCTTCGTTGGCTCCTCATCATCACAGCTGTTTGGCCATACCTCGTCTCAGGGGTGAAAACCAGGCAACCTACCTGTCGTTTGAGTCGGGTGCTCTCCGTCGCGTTGCAAGCCGACATCGTCGCGAGGCTGCACCGAGCAGCACTGCCGTTCCAAGAACTCCTTGTGTAGCATGGCTCCCACCGTCACCACTATATCATTGAGTTGCGCGCTCATCCCCACCATCCCCCCTTATGTAGTATGGTTCCCATATCATAGCCATCCTCACCACCACCAGCCACAACCATAACAACATCATCATACTCACCATCATCAACATCAGCATCAGCATCATCATCATCATCAGCAGCAGCATGGTCCCCAACATCGTCGTCGTCTTCATGATCATCGCCATCATCATCGTCACCAACCTCATCATCATGATCAACATCACCATCCTCATCATCAACATTACAATATCCACCTCTTTAACCCGTATCATCACAATGCCCATCACCACCATCACACTTATCATCGCCGCGTGCATCGACAAAGTTAGGATCGTCGTCATCATCATGTACATCGTCCTCATCATCATCGTCATCATCGTCATCATCAACATCATTACCACCATCATCATCCCCATCATCCACATCACCACCTCCGACCCGTTCACCCTCATCATCACCATGCCCATCACAATAACATCACCATCGCTCTGACATCGATTCCCCGTGCATTTAAAATGCGGTGCGTTTATTATCAAACAGATGAGTCAAAATGCTCCCCGATGGTCCTCACCGAGAGAAGTGCACAAGTCCGAACGGTACAAAGTAGTCACCAGTACCGTCGTCATGTGCATGTAAAATAATGGTCGCCGTCATCATCACCATCACCATCATCATCACAATCATCACCATGACCATCACCATCAACGACATCACCGTGATTTATGTCATGATCGCGATTACTATCACTACCAATATCAAAGACATCGCCACCATCATCGTCGTCATCATCATCACCATCAGCATAATCATCATCCTCAGCATCATCATCAGCAGCAGCATCAGCATCAGCAACATCATCCCTCCCCTCCTCTCCCACCTTCCTCTTAACTCTCCCTCGTGCTCCTCCTCTTGCCTCCGTCTCCTCCCCTTCCCCACCCCCGCCTCCCCGAGAACGGAACCTCCTCCTCCTCCTCCTCCTTCTCCCCGTGCAGAGTCTCTCTTCTTCTCCTCCCTCCTCACTCCTCCCTTCTCCACCATCCTCCTGCTCCTCCTCCTTCTCGTCCTCCTCCTCCCCCTCCTCCTTCTCCTCCTCCTCCTCCTCCTCCTCCCACCTCCACCCTCCTCCTGGTTCTCCTGGCACCTGTGCCACTAGGTCCACTCCCCAGGAAAACAAAGCGGGTAGCCTCCCGTCCGTCACTCCAGGCGTGCCTTTTGCATTCCAAAGCCTGCGCCGCGGCAGGAGCGGATGGATCCTGGGGTCTGTGGGGGCTGGCGCCGCCTGGCCGTACGCGGCTAGGAAGGCACATGCCAAGATCTTTGGTCTCGGTGACTCCTACCGTGAAGGGGATAGCATCAGTGCGCGAGCTGGGGCCTCCCCCTGCTCCTCCTCCTCCTCCTCCTCCTCCTCCTCCTCCA